CCGTAAGTAATTAAAGTACCTAAATAAGTACTTAAGTAAACTACTTATACACGTAGGCTCCCTTATAAATTTTTTTATTTACACCATTAACCCGTTTACTGATATTTTTGCAACCCCAAACCACCCAACAGGAAAGAAAATAAAAAGGAGGGAGAATATATGGTAATTTTGGACAAAAATGTCCGTACAGTAAAAATACCCTTGTAGCCTTGTTTCTAAATTTCTTTTTGAAGGTTAAGGCTGGTCCGGCACTTGGTATGCGGGACCTGCCTCGTTTCTAAACTTTTTCTTGAGGGTTGAGGCTGGTACAGTACTGGGCATGGTCTGGCACTCCAAGTGCCAAACCGACCTCATGTTTAATTTTTTTCAGAGGAAGAGGCAGTTCTGGCACTTTGAGTGCCGGACTGGCCTCAATTGACTTAACAAGGGCATTGTCCCCAATCACCTAAAATTTTGATATTAGAAAATTGATATCAAAACTCACATTATTAAAGAAAAAATGGTTCTTATCAGTAAAACTAAAGCATGATACTAGAAAAGTTCCTAAATGGAAAAAAATTGGTACATTTCACAATAAAATTCATGATAAAATTAATGATAAATCCATTTATTGGCATTTTTAACATACAAATATATGAGTCTAATCAATGTATTTTTCCCTAAATGGAACTAATTGTAATAATATCACAAAAAAAAAAATTACAACAATTAACAATAAATAAATTATATGAATTTAAATAAAGAAATAACATTTACCTCAACTTTTGAGGCCAAAATCTGGATCTTTGTGCTTGGCGTGAATTGGGCCTTCAATCCAGGCTATTTGTTCCTTATGTAGCAAAATTTAAACCCCAAAACGAATTTTTGGATCTGCCTTGAAATTTGAAGGAAATTATAACTCCTGAAAAATTGAAATTTTTTAGTACCCTAAATTTATCACCTTCCGGGTGAGATATCTCAAGATAGGGGTTGTAATCTTACAAATTAACATGGGGATATTGTTAAAGATTCTATCAGCTTCAATTGGAATCAAATCTAAAGGATTTTAGCTGGAAAACAAGGGTGAAATGGATCAAAATGGTGGTTTGGTAGGATTGTCACTAACTGGTTCTTTCAACAGAACCGACCCATTGCATGCCGGATACCTCAAGATAGGGGGCTATAATCCCTCAAATTAATGTGGGGATATTGTTGAAGAATCTATGAACTTCAATATGAATCAACTTGCAAGGATTTTGGCTGAAAAATGAATGGACTTATACCCCTAATGACGGATTTGCTCATAAAACTCAGTTTTTGGATGAAAACCTTCAAACTAAGATCAAAATTGATTGATTTATGATCAAGAATCCTTCTTTTAGAATTTGGGTCACCCAGCACTAATTCATTTGAGCAATAATTCATTTGATGAGTTATTGCTAGATCGAAGCTCTTTTGCAGCATCAGAGATGCAAAAGAGGCCTTACTGTATGCACAGCTCAATAATCGGAGAATCAAACCAAACTAGGTCTGATTCCCTAATTACTCATCGCTACTGTGTTGTACTCATGTGAGTACTGTACATACTCGCCCAAGTACTGTACACCTCCTGTTGTCCATGGAGGCGTACCCAACTACCCGCCTCGGCGCATAGCCGATGCCAAGTGAGTCACAGTCAACTCGACCGAGTCTTGAAACACTGTTGACTATATTATAGTGGGGGCACCGAGCACTTGTTCCCACCCTGTCGATTTTCCTGATAGGTTTTTGTCCTTCACTTCTTTGTTGGGATCAAATGGGACATGCAGTCTTCAGCACCCCCTCCTCCTTTTGCTATTTGTTTCTATTCTCCTAAATACAATTACCAAAGAATATTCATACTTGATTATCAAAGAAAATATATTAATAATAAAAATATCTTCGAAAAACATGTATGTGATGGGAACTAATAATTTGTGTGCTTGATTATCAAAGAAAATATAATAACAACAAAAATATCTGAGAAAAAACATATATGTGATGGGAACTAATAATTTGTGAAGTTAGTGTTCTAGACCTTTGAGGGACTTGATGGCGGTTGCCTGGAGTGAGAGCCTCTGAACTGTTGGGCCTTGAATTAGTTGGTTTTCTCACCCTTAGAGAGTTTGGAAGCTCAATTTTGATGGCATGTTTGTAAGCTAGAATCTAATAGTGAGTAATTTGGTTGGTGTATGGGATTGATACTATTGGGGTTAAACCAGTTCTTGATGAATTCGTGTGTAAAGTGGATTTTATTTATCTAAAAACTTCCCTTTACCTTGTATTATTGGGGTGCATATGCGGGTGGGATCAAAGTCATGCGTGTGTGTCTATTTTGGGGTACCAACAGTATGCTGTTTGTGAACCTCTTTTTCTTTTAGCATATTTATTGTTCTAAAACTGTGTGTAAATAATTGACACAAAAACGGAAGTTTTCCTACTCTCAAAGACTGCCCATTAATTTGGTTTAATCCCTATAGCTGTTATATTGCACAGGGCAGAGGAGGAGCATGTTTATCCAGACACAAACAACACCCAATCCCTCATCGCTCATGTTCTATCCTGGAAAGCCAGTTATGGAAGTTGGGAGTGCAGACTTTCCAAATGCTCGAGCTGCCATGAATTCACCTCTGGCCAAATCGCTCTATGCCATTGATGGTATACATCGTTTACTGTTCCATTTTCTTTCTTTAATTTGAATGATTTCATTTAAGTACCGCCAAACTGGAGCATGAAAACTACTCAAGCCTCTCATCAAAAGGCTCGAGCTGCCATGAATTCACCTCTGGCCAAATTGCTCTATGCCATTGATGGTATACATCGTTTACTGTTCCATTTTCTTTCTTTAAAATGATTTCTTTTAAGTACCGCCAAACTGGAGCATGAAACCTACTCAAGCCTCTCATCAGAAGGGAGTCCTAATTTTAAATCCTATCCATTTGTTGTTGTATCCCCATTCGCCCCTTTTATAATTCCCTAATATCATTATCAATGCTTAGCATAATAACCTTTGCAGAAAATAATAGAAGGATGCTTTCATTCAATGGATCAATATGGAAAACTAATACTCCATTCGGTCTTAACTGTTCATTAAAGTGGATGATGATGGATAAAGTGGGATCCACCAGAACCGGACATGACTGCAATCACGGATCTCTCTTTCCATCACCTTCCATCATTTCATTGGACGTCTATAGCCCTTGGACTATAGTATACTTTTCTGAATCATTATCTTTGCCTTTCTATATGGAACAGTTCCTCCATGCAGCTTGTCACTAGGTAACAAGCCTATTGTGAAACCCTGTTAGATGGATTTAGAGGCATCCAATGTAGTAAGATATTCTTTTTTATATGTTTATGCAATGGCAATACTGAAATGCTATAAGAAGAATGAACTTCCAAGAATTTGTAGGGATGAATACATTTTCTCCTGCACACCTCATCCATTACCTTTTAGTTGCTGTTGTCATTTAAACTCATGTTTCTTTCTGATAATCATTTAAGTTTGCATTTCATTGTTATTTTGGATATCTCTTCACAGTAATTGACTTGTTATAATATTTTTGTTAGAATTGACTTCTTCTACTCTGTGACTAGCTTACAATTGATTTCTTGTTGTACTCTGTAACTAGCCTGTCCTGTCAGGTGCTCCTTGATACGGCAAGGTTATTTTTCTTGTTATCCTGTGTGTTAATATTTGTGAATAAGCTACAGCATAAAATAAGAAACTGAGTATTCTGAAATTTAACAATTGAAAGTATTGCAAACGAATAGTCTCAACAGTCCTTATTATTCAACATACCAAGTTGTCATATTCTGTCTCCCAGATATTGAGATGAACTATCAAGAATCCACTTGGTCTTTGACAGACCATCTTAAGACCTGACAGTAAGAAATTTAATATTTCTTTTTGTGCCAGATATGTTTTGATCCCCTATATATTGAGATCTTTCCTTTGATTGATTCACACAGCAGAACTTGTCAGATGGGTGACATGTAATTTGCTTGCTAAAGAAATGTTAACTTAAAACAGTAATGTAGTAGAAGAGAAATGACATGTAACTTAGGTGGGTGGGTGTACATGAAAACACAGAATATTGGCTATATTGCTATAATACCTGGCAAAATGCGCTTCCATCTTCTGGATTTATTGAAATATAAAACCAAAAGAAGAAATCTAAGTTTTGGTTAGAAGGTCATGAACAGTATTAATTGAAGACACAATGAATTAGTAAAATATTTTTAATTACTTCCATTAGATAAGAAACATGCTATACAATTTATGCAGCAAAAATATTATCGAAGAGAAATGGTAATTGGTTCAACAAAAAAAAAATGGTATATTTCAACAAGTATTAGTTTATCTTAACTTCGTGGGGATTCAATTAATATTGATGAACTCTTCATCATGAGCTTTTTTTTCTTTTTTTTCCACATAATTCACCCCCCCGCTCCCCCCCTATCTTATCAGACTAATATGTTACCTCTGTGTTCGTAGGAGTATCTCGAGTTTTCTTTGGATCAGATTTTGTCACAGTAACAAAATCAGAAGAAGCTTCTTGGGATTTTCTGAAACCGGAAATATTTGCAGCAATCATGGACTTCTATTCATCAGGGAAACCATTGTTTTTAGATTTGAATGCTGCCACTTCCACGGATACTGTGATTCATGAGGTATGAAAAAGGAACCTTGTCCATTTGATAAAAAAGGGAACCTTGCCAACCTTGCATGAATCTGTTTGTCTGTCCTGATTGAATCCTATTTCTTTTGAATCACTTCTTAAGCTTCTGTGAATAAATCATTTCTTTTCTTCTCTCTTAAATTCACTTCTTTACAAGGGGAAGTTAATTTCTGATATTCCAATTTTTGCATGTGTGACACTATAAGCTAGAATGTAGCAAATGACATATCAGGAACTTCGGTATCTTAAGAAATGGTAAAAAGCTTAACAATGCTGTTGAATGTGTGTCTCAAACACAGTTCTCCCTAATCTAAAAATTAGATGTCCAGTAAATAGAGATTTTCAATTTACTGAAGTCTCGAAAGCCCAAATTAAGGGATTGTGCATCATTTTATGTCATGCTTACACTGTTACACATGTTTAGATGTTTCTTCTGACAACAGGAGCCTGGACTTGTAGAAAAAATAGTGGAGGCCTGGACTTGTTTGCTGCTAACCATGCTAATCCGTATACTTTTCAAATTGATTTTGCTTCATTTTGACGGTTTTGGACACTTTTTACATCTAGTTTATCATCCTTCCCTTGAAGCATGGTGGAATTGCTTAAATGATTGTCATATACCACTTTTCTAGACTAAAATTTTCCTTAAATCATTTTTCTCAATAATACAGTTTATTGAGTGTAAGGGTGGCTCCCAACTTCCTATTACATCTATTTTGGATGTGAGGTAAGATAGAGTTTCAGAAATTCTCTATCAAAGTTCAAAAAAAAGCAATTCTCTCAAGATACTTCATATGAATAATTGGGTTCATCAAGTTTTCCAATAATGCTGTCAAATAATTAGGATATGTAGCCAATCATGCCAAAATAAAGAGGATCATCTAGCACCTGGTTCTGACTACCATGGCATGCTGCCAATCCAAAAGAAAGAGGGGAGAAAGAACCAAGACATGCATATTAACTCTTGGAAACTTCATGTAAAATTTCTAAAAGTTTTTTGGAATTTAAAAATAGTCCCATTTTTTTTATTTTTATGCTCAAGTCCCTTTTTTCTGTCAGATTTTTATCTTTCCCAAAATACCTCTGCGTTCACCAGTTGAAGTTTCAAAACCAACCCTTTTTTTTTTTTAAGCAAAGGATGGGTTCGGCACCACTTTCTTAAGTGAAAACATAGTTTGGGCATTTCAAGTGTTGAACCTACTTTTTATTAAGCGCACGTATACTATTCTTCCATTGGAGCATATTGTACACTTGCTCCCTCAACTATAACCCAATCGAGGCACTTTTTTAGGCCTTCAAATTTCGAGGATTTAACTTCTTCAACCTAGTGACCAACCTTAGGGGAAAAAAATCTTAATGCATTCTATATGTACTTGAAAAAAATACCGTCCTAAGATTGAACAGAGACCATTCAAATTTTGGATGATCAAATCTAAGTGTTTTAAGAACTCAAAATCCAATTTTCTGTCAACAAGATTTTTAGGTGAATCCCAAAATTTCAGATCCAAAAAGATATCCTATTGCTCTTTTGCCCCTGATGGAAGCACAGCATACATGCTCTTCACTTGTTGAAGTGCCGAAACCATGTTTTTACTTAAAAAAAGTAGGTTATGCACTTCAAATGCCAAACACATTTTTTTAATTAAAAAAAGTGGGTAAGTGCCAAACCCATTATTTGCCTTAAAAAAAAGAGTATTTTGAGAAATAAAACCCTGATAGAGAAAAGGGACTTGAGCATAAAAAATAAAAAAGTAGGACTATTTTTTAGTCCTGCAAAATATAATGGTCTTTTGCATAAAATTCCCTAAACTCTTATCTATTTGGGATACGCATAGTATATCTTATTGAAAAGAATGGTATCATATTATTGGTTGGGCTTCATGGGCCCTATCACAAATATTATTAACACAGCCTTGCGATAAACTTCCTATTGGAAACATGTATTAGATTCCAATTGTATCTTTTTAGTATGCTGAATTCAATTAGGGTATGCCTCTATTAAAAAACACATCAGTTAAGATTCTGTTTTTAATATGCCGAATTCAATTAGGGTATGCCTCCACTAAATTGTACCTTCTCTGAATTCTGTTTTGATCAAATTAGGTAATTAACAAATGACATTTTCATTGTCTGTTTTTTTAGGACGATTCAGAGACGGTTGCCATGATCAAAGAATTATTGGAGACTCGAATTCGTCCAGCCGTGCAAGATGATGGTGGAGACATTGAATATAGGGGTTTCGATCCGTAAGTTTCCCTCTCCCCGTGCTTGCCCAAACTTCGTAACTATAGTTACGGTTCCTAATTACATAGAGAGAGAGAGAGAGAGAGATGCTTGGCTGATTGGTAGCTGGTTATTGTCGAAATTAACCTCTTACATTGTTTTGCTTGTTTAGAGAGACAGGTATAGTCATGTTAAGAATGCAAGGAGCTTGTAGTGGGTGCCCGAGTTCCTCAGTTACTTTGAAGTCCGGTATCGAAAACATGCTTATGCATTATGTGCCAGAGGTAATAGCTGATCTTTGACCACAAATACATGGGGCTACTAAGTTTCTATGAGAATTTTCCATTTACCAATGGTCTATGTTATATCGTTTCAGTTAGAAATGATGGATGGGGGGATTAACCTTATCTAGGAGAATATCCGTCATTGAAAACTATAGTTAATCTCCACTGTCCATGATTGGGAATAGATAGTGAGTATCCCTGTGCTGTGCCACGACATCCACCACCAGTGCTTATGGCATGCTTTCCCAAGTTCGATTGATTATATTCGTGCACTTCAATGCATTTTATTATCTGTAGATTTTTCCATCCATTAGTCAAAAAGAAATAAGATCCTCTTTTTTATCTTCGCAGGCCACCTTGTTATTGTTTGCAACTGATCGTATATCACTTTTGCATCATATAAATGCACAGTTTGTGAAATGAACTCTAATTTCTTTTCCATGAGCAGGTTAAAGGTGTGGAGCAGGAATCAGATCCAGAGGATGAGGAATTGAATATGACAGCCCAAATGGAATGATGTGAATCATGCTCCGCATCGTGTGTACGAATAAACTTTGCATGCAGATATTCTCTGTCAAAATTTACCCCTCAAATTTTTTACTATTTATTGCGATGGTTGAGGCCATGTGGGTAAGTGCATGAGGTTCCATGAGCTGTTTTTTATTTTTTCTTTACATGCTAACAGGTTAGGAATACAATGCTTGTTGTTATGTTGTGGCTCTGCCACCTAGGCCAAAGACCCATTATGACATTCCATAAACTTTTATGTATAGTCGCAGTGTATTTTCTGCCATTTGATTTAACAGCCTTCATAGCCTCTCTCTCTCTCTCTCTCTCTCTCTCTCTCTCTCTCGTACTACGTACTACGTAACGTACGTAACGTAACGTACGTACTACGTACTACGTTACGTTAACTTACGTTAACCGTTTACGTTTAACCG